TTTACTGAACTTTTGTATAAAGTTCTACCTGGCTCTCTTTGGTCTGTATCTGAATCCCTCCCTCTCCAGACACTCGCACGGCTTTGACCCTTTGCTGCTCGCTCTGCTCTAACCATCCAGACTGATGCAAAGTGAAGCTTTCTGAACCATAATTCGGCTCCAACACACTCAGCTCCATCAGGTACTTCAGCTTCAGGCTGCGTTCACCAGCCGAGCATTTGCCAAGCTTCTTTAGGAAACGCTTCAGCGTTTTTCGAATTTGATATCGCGCTAGGCGGCTCATACGCTGTATATCTTGTCTGTGGGTCTCTGGGAGGCAGGACTTGTAGCTGGAATGAGATTTTTTGCAGTGGTTAATGCAGCTTGAACATTGAAATGTTATGTTGAATGTACAGAAAATCTCTGTATAGCTCTATCCATCCACTTATATGAGACTTTCTCAGTTTCTCATGTTACCTTGTTGTATTGCAGATCTCACCAAGGCTCTGATTTCTCTCTTTGGCCATACGCCACAGATCCAGCACTGCCATTCCCAAACATTCCTGCTGCAAACTCAAAGCAGGTGAAATCCCGCCACGTCCAGACACAAAATCACTGCGGGACTGAAACAGGAAGACTGTACAGTCAGATGGGAAGGTAAATGATCCTGAACAGTTGAGTCAGCATTTTTATGACACATTTTGTTAATTATTTGAATCATGCCAATAGTTTACTGTACATCAGCAGGACAGAGGCACATAGACCTGGGTGTTTATTTTACAGTCACACATGGCTTTCAAAATAACGTTCAACTGCCTCTTGGGAGGGCGATGACAGATTACTGTGCTATACCTGAGCAAAAAGATAGTCTATGACGCAGTAGTCCAGCACAGCACAGATTCGTCCTCTGCTGAGGCTAAAGCGGTACGATGCTTTGGACCCTGAACCAAACCAGCTTGAGAAGAAAAACCTTAAACACACAGAGAAAAGCTTTACAATTACAGAAAACTGTCAATTTGCATGTTTATCTCTTAAAGCACACCTTTTACTTTCTTACTATTTAATTTGTCCACTTGCAATTATTTTAATATTATTTGTATACTATTACAGTATTTATTAATATTTTCAGTTAGCTTTTGTTTTCAGTGTTCATTTTCATTTTAGAAATGATCTTATTTCAGTTTTATTTCAGTTACCAAAAATGAATTTTAATAGTTTTTTAGTTAACAATAACAATGCAATGGCCAACAATGCATATCAGTGCATCACAGAAGAATTCTATAATTTTTGTAATTTTACAATGACAATATTCTGTTATTGTGCATCATATTTTTCACATAAAGTGTTATATAACTTTTTTTTTTTAACGATTTTTCTTTTTTTCTTTACACATTATGTATCATATTTATCTTCTTTATGCTTTTCACTGACACTTGTCTTATAGTACACTAAAGTACACTAACTTTTTAAAAAACATTATTAAGGCTAACATTTTTGTTTGTGATAAATGACACCACACTTGATATAAACACTGATATAAATAATTATTAAATATTGAAATTTCAGATTAGTGTCACTTTACTCACTTTAGTTTAAAATGTAAAGTTTATGATAATTTCACTTTTTAATCATCAGTTTTAAAAACATAATATGATCAAGTTACTTTAAGACTGAAGTCTGGGTCAAGGACGAGGTTAAAACTAAATCTTTACATAACAGGCATTTGCAAGTTAACTGAAAATGAATGACATGAATAGTAAATAAAGAAACTCAAATATTCAGTAAGAGTAAGCTATTTATAAATAAAATATATGATTATTACAGCTGTTTTACCTCACTCTGTAGTGAACTTTGACGTTCTCCTCGCTCTTAAACACATGAGTTGGTGGATACCAGTATGAAAGGTCCTCTGATCCCAAAGCAAACAGGTTGTGGAACACAGGGCGAATTCCTAAAAATATAAATATTCCATTCAGGTTGTTCTAAGGTTGGTGCACAACCCTTTTAAATGTATTTAATTAAAAGACAAAACATATGAGAAGATTTTTGTTTAAACTGTAATTTCTATGCTTTAGACATCATCTAAAAGATAGACCTCGACCTTATAAAAGTTATCATCAACACAGTTGTAATGCTTGTTGCACCTTTTTAAAAAAAGCTTTATAGATATTGAAAGTGAAATAAGATAAAACCGTGGGGGGGAAAAGGTATACACTTGAGTATATACATAAAAACAGAAGATTTTGACCTATGAGCAACAGACATCTTTAATGCTTAGATTATGTTGTGTGTGACAGTGTGTTAGTGTCTCACCGCTGGCTTTAGCAGCAAGCACACACACGCTCTCCGCTGTGATGTGTCCGGTGGGGATAGTGAAGGTGGTCTCTGAATTTAAGCTGGGGCTGAAGTACAGGTGCACCTGCAGGGCAGAGTCATAGCTGGACTTCTGACTGCCAGCCCTTTCACTCTTCATCAAGGGCACCTCTTCCTCTTCACTCATGATCTTCTCACTGAAGTAATCTTCTGATTGGACGGAAAGGACTATAGATAATTTCATCTCAACAGATGCAGGTGTTCATTGACCGTTCTTTCTTTCCAAAATAATGCATGTAACTCAAAATAGGATGTAATTAAAATGAGACAAATGGTTCTTTCTGATAAAAAGCGAATTATTTTGATGTTAAAAGCTATTGTAAAGTTTTAAATGATCTCTGATGTTCTGTTTGGGGCTTTATAAAACCCTTTCAGCATTTACAAAAACATTATTAAGGTATTTGGTTGACTTTTGCTACTCTTATGACTGATTAATAATAAAATGTCCACTTTATCACACATCCTAAATAATAATAAAAACAAAAATGTTACATTTCTTCTGCTGGGGGTCTCAGAGGCCCCGGCTATAAAAAACTGACCTTAAGCAGAAGCAATTTTTCTATTTTAGACAGCATTCCCATTTTAGAAAAAGTGTATGCACTTTGGGATTCAACAGAGGGTTCAATTTAAATACTGTCAAATGAGCTTTAATTAAGTCAAAAGTGAATTTGAATAATTTATTTAGCAATTCTTATTTTTATTTTTAGACAAATCATTAGGGTCTCAGAGACCCCAAACATAAATACAGCAAACTTGATCTCAAAAGAACTTGAGGGCTACTGCAAGCAATAGACAAAGCAGAAGGCAGTAGCATTGTACTGTAAAGCAGTGGATTATTGTTAACACCAGTTCTTGGAACTGTGGTGGTCATACGCTTGATTGAAGTGAGCTCATCCTTCTCATGTTGACGAGCTGTACTTTCCGTAACAAACTAAATCAAGGGTGTTTTCCCTAGATTTCCAATATTAAGCCATTAACAGTAAATAATTTGATATACATAAAGTATTTTAAATTAAAAGGTTAGTTTACACAAGTTTAATTTAATTTCGATAATGTCATTGGCTGTTAAATATTGTAGTGGAACATCCTATTACAGAAATACATCTGATTATATTCCAATAATACGAGTACAAACAAGCAGACAAACATGAAACACAACGCCTCAGTCACAAAATGTATATTCGTAGTCACATGACTTCCATTGGCATATTCTCTGAAATGGCAGTTACGAGGTATTTTTCATTTTACGATTCTAATAAAGACAACTGAGAGGTGTTACCTGAAGTTATTTAAGAAGAAACATTAATGATTTGTTCATGTTGATGTGAAGAGCTGCGTAAATTTCACTCAGGTTTCGCTGTTGTGAGACTCTGGTGGGAGGGATCAAATGAGACTCATTTCCGGCAAGAGGCAAACCACAAAAGCACATCATTTCCAGACTACTTTAGCAAGATCGACGCCACTTGATGTTTCTTTACTGGTCGGCCTCATCTGGCATCTCGGTTTCTAGACCTGTGACCAGGCCATAAACTGAACACAGAGCCACCTCTGCATATTATGAAGTGCAAGCATTGTGTATTTATAAGTGTGAGAGAGAAAGAGAGAGAGAGAGAGAGGGAGGGTGTTTGCTGGAGCTGCTGGGTTTGTTGCTTTCTTTACGTGGGCAGAGTGAAACTGTGGTTTCTTCTTTCTCTGCTAGTGAGCGGCAGGTTTGTTATTTCCGCCTGCAGAGCACAACTGAGTAGGTTTTCTTCCGTTTGGCCTGATACAACCAAGTGCCATTTGAAACTTACTTGTAAAATTATTATGTGCACCTGATAGTAGTGTTGACATTTCAGTTTATTGTGAACGTGACAGGGACACGCGATCATTCTACAGCTTATCTATGCGATACAGGTATAAAATGATACAAATATTCAAAATATGCTTGAATTGCACAGCCATTGGTTCAAAACGAAAACACTGAAAAAATTCATTTTGATTCTGGTGTCTTTTGGGGTTTTTAGGACTTCTGACACATTCAGGTGATTTTTCTTAGAAATGCTGAGGAATTCCCATGTTCCTTTAATGAGCCTTGTTTTATAGGTTTAGACACCGAAATAATAATCCTGTCTGCCACAAACAAATGAAATGCATTATTATTATTGTGGGTAGTATGATGTAGTTAAAAATATCTGTTGTAACATGGTCAATAAAATTGATCTTTGTAGTGTTAAATCATTTGTATTCTCTTAATTAATTCAAACTAATAATCATACATACAGAGTTATTGGATAATTTAGAGAAAAAAAACATCATAGTGATATTTCACCATTAAAGCATTCAGTTAATTAAAGTACTTTCAGATCACTTTAGTGTGCATGACTAATACTAGGAATGAATGACATACAGGTGCAACACAGGTGTATGATGAACAGAAACATATTGTGCATGATTTTGTACTATGAAGGAAGGTACTGTTGTTTAATAGGTCAAATAATCATCTTTTGAATCAGGTGGTGATGGTCAGGTATTCAGTAATGCCAACCAAAAAGGAAAATAATCAAATTAGTATGGCTTTTGACATTTTTGATATGAGAGACTGTGCAGAATGTACTTTGTGTGATGTTCTACAAGAAGTCATTTTAATTTGAATTAATGCAATTTCTTAAAGATTTAGTTTGAAAATAGAAACCTGACTTTTTACTTCACAAAGCCAATCCTGCACCTGTCTAAATGTCACCTTTGTTCAGTAAAACATCTTGTTTATCAGCAGTGGCAAAAAGTTCTTTTGGACTGAGAAGGATTTCGGTGGAATTGTTTGTCATAGTTTCATTCTGTAGAGACAAGAATATGATTTCAGCAGTGTTGTTATTGTTAATGAAAACTAAAACTATAAAAAAATATTTTTTGTTAACTGAAATAAAGCTGAAATAAAATATCTAATATATATGTAATATAAATATCAAATTAAAACTTAAACTTTAAATTAGAAATATTGCTTTGGCAACTAACACAAAATAAGTTGAAGTACTCAAATTAAAACTGAAATAAAAATATTTTAAATGTGTGTGTGTGTGAACTAAAAATTAAAAAAATGATATAAATAAGAAAAGCACACAACAAAATAAAAAACAAACTAAAATTAAAATAAATACTGAAAATATAAAAAAAAGCTAATTCAAAATATGAATAAATATAAATATTTTTAAAATAATGCTAAAATAACACGTGATTTCATGTGGTAAGAACTGGGCTATAAGTTCAAGTAAATTAATTGGTACTATGAAACTTACCAAGTTATCACAGGATTCATTGCATGTCTTTTGTTCCAAGTTCCATCGTAACAAACCAGGACTGATAGAATCCTTCTTGGTAGGTCCTGTAGTAATCCAACACATAGTCATTAAGATAAGTAGTAAGATCTGTTGACATTTTCATTAGTTTAATTATTCTGTTAGCAATAGTGTAAGTGAGTTTCTCTCACCTGTAATGTAGCTAACCACCACACCTACCAGCACGACTGCACTTGTTGACAGGGCTCCAAAGTACAGGTAGGATATTGAATAGATATTTTGAAGGCTGTATGAATTTAGTTGGAAAAAGGAAATTAACTCCTGTGCTATATTTCACACACGAAACACATTTTGCAAATAATTAAAGTCAGAGAGCAGTCACAGGGCATTATAAAATGTGATACAGCTTTGACTCTCACCCATAATCCAGAGGGACTGATGATGCCAGGATAGGTGATTCAGCGACTGCCGTGGTGCTGTTGAGCGTTGCATTACTTGCTAGACATTGACCTGCACTAGTGGGTAAAACACCCATAATTTGTGGTGTGGGAGGATAAATTGTGCTTCCAACAGCAAGCCATAGAGACAGACAGAAACCCACAGTCACACCTGAGAACACCCCCTAAGATGTGAGAAATATTACAACACTATTTATCGAGTGGAACGATAGAATAATATATGGTGGGGTGGACCATCATGTTTATGGAGTCTTACTGGTTTATTTGTGGCTGGAACAAACATGCCCAGCACAAATGCTCCCAGCAGTGGACCGTTCACTACACCCATGACTGTGAACGAACCCTGAGGTTATTAGAAAAAAAGCTGGTTAGAGCACAGACATGTAGACTGAAATACAACCTGCTTAAAATCACAGTTATTCCAGTAGTTCAGACCTGAAGGACTCCCCAGTCCAGCAGCGAGGAGAGCGCAGCCATTGTAATGCAGCCAAGCCCGTACAACAGTGCTGTAGTCATATTTATAAACATTATCAGATTGATATCAGCAGATACTTGCAGAAAAACATCATGGTCTCTTACTTTTATAAGTTGTTACAGCTTCGTATTAAAAACAAGTCTCACCAATAGTCTTCTTTTAATGCATTACAAATTCAATATTAATTGAAATCAAGACAAAAATAAATGAAAATTTAGCATTAAGAAATTAGACCTTTTTATATCCAATTATTTTGGATTGTGTAATTTCCATGACAATTAAGTATAAAATTATTTTTTTAATAAAGGCACAACAAATACTAACATTATATAATTATATATAAATATAAATAATATATAATTATTTAATACATTATATAAATATATTCAAATTAAAATGGTAAACTAATAAAAATGGCAAAAGCACATAACTAAATTATTAAAACTTAAACTAAAATTATAAGGAAAAATGAAAGTATAAAAATAAAACCAAATTCAAAATTAATAGATTAATAAATACTATAATTTAAATATAATAAATTCTATAATATCTCAATAATACTAAAATAACACTGGATTTCAGGTGGTAAGAAGTTAAGAACTGAGCTGTAAGTGAAAGTAAATGAACTGATATGTATAATGTAATGTAAAGTAATATATCAAATACATATATCTCCAGATTTATATCCATGAGTGGAGAGCAAGATTTGGTTGATGGTCTAAATATATGCAGTAAGCTATTGCTTGCACTTTGGAGATGTTTTATCTATTTAAGACACTAATGTCGTCTTTGGCTTGCTTAGTTGGGGACTCAATTTTCTGGCAACATTGTTGACTTGACTGCACAGACACTATTGGAAAAGAACTGAACTGATCTGGACGATGACGCCACTGAAACAACATTGAAGTGACTTTAAGTGATAAACTGACTCTTTTCTATTGTCCTCTTGCATTATCAGCACGTTTTTCCTGTTTAACACTGGCTGCTTTGACACAATCTGCGTTGTATAAAGTGCTAAAAAAAAAAACTACAGGAAAGAATGAAAAGTTGCTTTTGACCCTACATAATGACTTGGAGATCAAGAGCTGTTTTCTCTGTGAAACACTGATTAGCCACGGCTTCATTACATCCTCCATAGTAACAGCTGCCATGGCGTTAATGCTGGTGGAGACAGTACTGTGGAAACAGAAGCGGGTGGTTTATTCCATTTGTACCAATAATCAACACCTCACTGAAGGTTCAGAAAGTTTCAAACACCTTAAAGTTCCACTGTAGGCACAGGCTAGAAAAAGACCCGGGAAGCCTGGATGATTACGGAAAATGTCCAAAACCATGTACGGCATGTACTGTGAAAATAAAAATAAAATTGGGTTGCTTAGAAGGAGTATTTCACCCAAAAATTTAATTTCTTGAAAATTCACTCACCCTCAGGCCATCCAAGATGTAGATTATTGTTTCTTCATTGGAACAGATTTGGAGAAATTTAGCATTACATCACTTGCTCACTAATGGATCCTCTGCAGTGAATGGGTGCCGTCAGAATGAGAGTCCAAACAGCTGATTAAAACATCACAATAATCCACAAGTAATACACACCACTCAAGTCCATTAATTAATGTCTTGTGAAGCAAAAAGCTGCATGTTTGCAATAAACAAATCCAACATTAAAGGGATAGTTCACCCAAAAATCTTAAGTTGTGTTCCGAAGATGAACAAAGGTTTTATGAGTTTGGAACGACATGAGGGTGAGTAATTAATGACAGAATTTTCATTTTTGGGTGAACTATCCCTTTAAGGCATTTTTAACTTCAAACAAGTCCTCTATCCATAATACTGTATTTATTTCTCTAGTGAAAAGGTCATCTGGTCTGAATCAGGAGAGAAATATGCACAGCAATGTTTACAAACAAAACAGTTCTGAACAAATATGTTAGTGGATTTTGATGTGAGAGAACAACAGGGGATGGATTTTTTCCACTGGAGAAAGGGTTATGGATTTTGGACTGTTTTTTTGGCCAGAAGCATCAGTTTAAAGTTAAAACACCTTAATAATGCATTTGTTTCTAACAAACACAGCTTTTCTCTTCATACGACGTTAACTGATTGACTGAAGTCATGTGTACTCTCATTCTGATGGCACCCATTCATTGCAGAGGATCCAGTGGTGAGCAAGTGATGTAACGGTAAATTTCTCCAAATGCATCTACATCTTGTATGGCCTTAGAGTGAGAAAATATTCAGCACGTTTTTTTATTTTTGGGTAAACAATTCCTTCCTTCCTAAGAGAAATGGTCATTTGTGATATAAATGTCTGTACTGTCATTTTTATACATTTAATACAAATATGGTGAATTATAGTATCAATTTCTTTAAAAAAATACACGTTTAATAGTTTAATAGTTATTAGTAGTGTAGGTATAGGTAATTCTGTTTGTGCATGTATTAATTTACCTGGTCAGATGCAGATATTCTGCCAGTCTTCAGTGGGTCACAGCTGGAGTATAAAGCAAACATTACAATGCCACATGTGGCTGCACTGCTCACAATCAGACACAGACCCACCTGATTAACCAGCAGCGCCCTGCAGCACAAGAGTGACACTCAGTGGATCGGTATCTCAAGTGAGTGGGAACAGAAATATGTTAGTGTTCTTGTAAACCATAACTGTGATGTGTTATTACTATTAGGAGAAATTTAATGGTAAACAAAACTAAATGTAGGAGATTGAAAAGGCTATTTTAGATGGTAAAAAAGACAGATTTTATTGATTTATTCTCTCACAGTTGGGCTTGTTTCTCAGTCCTGCATGATATGTAACGCTGTACTTGAGCTTGATTGGCTCCATACATGGATAACCAGACCATAGTGCCGCCCACTGTGAAACTCCAGAATGAGTAGCGTCTCTGAGGGTTTATGGTAAAACTAACACACACAGAGAGAATGAGCAATAGAATAATTAATAAACATTTAATTTGACAGATTTCAAAACATTTGATAATGTTCATACTCATTAAAATTAATGCGGGATCCATTGTTGGCAATCTCCAAAACTCTGGCAGGCCCTCCTGCCAATATGGTGCCCTGAATGAGGACTGCAATGAACCCAGAGAGCATGACTACAATCTGAAACACATCTGTCCAGATTACAGCCTTCATACCACCCTGCAGGAAAACACAAACACAACATTATGTTGACAAACAAACATTTACATGGTCATATCACAGGCATAATCATAAATTCAAATTACTGAGCAAAACTGTTTTCTATTTAAATCCAGATCTGGAAAGATTTCACACTGGCCTACCAATGTTGTGTAAAATGTGCAGATGAGCCCAGTTGAGAAGAGAGATGCCCACATATTTAGACCTGTGGCTTGATTCAGAAAAGAAGAAAAAGGTTGATTTGAATATTGCAAATGTGCAAAAACAAACACAACTTCAAACCACTCACATGGGATCCAACTTGATGGATTGAGATACGATAGACACGTGAAGCCAAGAAACTCTGAGTAATTCCGTTTAAAACAGAGGAAATCACTAACCCTGATTCAAGATGACTGCAGGAGCAAAGATCACTATTCCAGTGTAGAGGAGCTACAGAAAGTACCAAACAGCCTTAGAGTTACATATCCATTAGACACAAATATAAAACGTATAAACACAGAGTATGCACTTATTTTATGCAAATACAAATGTAAATATTGGAATTGAAAATACATGTACAGGTGATATTCAAAGCTTTATTGATCAGTATTCTACATATACATTTTATTATATTGCTTTAATATTACTAAAAATATTATTATATTTATTTCCATTTAAGTTTTGATGATATGATGAGTTTTTTCTTACTGTGGCTACAATGAACTGCAAACTTCCCAAGAGTTGCATCCCTCTGCCAAACCTCATTCCTAAATACTGACACACAGTTACATTTATTAGAAGCCGGTGTTCACACGCACACACACACACACACTCACACACACACACACACACACACACACATTTGGGTCCAAAAGCACATGCTTATTAGGGGACATATTAAATACAGAAAACTAAAAATTGTTATGGGAAACTGTGTATTAAATTAGAAAAACTTCAAAATAGAATGATTCACTAATGGTCATATTATACATTTATTACAGTAAAATAAAACTAAAAACATACATACAAATTAAATGGAAATCTCTCTCTCTCTCTCTCTCTGTTCGTGTGTGTGTGTGTGTGTGTGTGTAACAAACTTTATTGAACAGTATGAAAGTGTAGTGCTCATATGCTCATATGCCATATGCTCATAACCAGCGATGCAATGAATAAATGTCCCATTCTGAGCATTTATTTGGAGCTGATCGAATGTTCAGTTCGTGAGTTGTCAGTCACTGTAGAAGTTGTCCTCGAAAGACACTTTTTTTTTCTAGTGCCGTGACAATTTTTTAATAATATTTTAAAATTAAGAGCATAATAAATTAAATGCAACCTATTCTTGGTATTTGAAGTCATATTCTGTATTTGAAAGATTATTTTTATGTAAATGTGTATAGTGCAGGACACTAACTGAGATGTAGACAGATGGAAAAATGTATTCATTAAAAAAAAAAACTGTTAATAACCATAAAAATTAAAGCATTTAAGAATCAGTTTCGCCCATATATTATTTAATGTTCTTTTTATAATTCAGATATGTGGGCTTATAGGAACTTGACCTCTGTTGTTCTTAATAAGCACACTCATTTCCAGGGAGTATAAGGTCAAAAACAGAGGAAGGTCCACAAGCTTGAATAATTAAAATAAATAAATAATGAAAATAAATAATTAAAAAATGGACACAACCATTCAAACACACACAATTAGCCTACACACATATATAAACTGATGTGACTGTAACACAGAGCAATAATGCAGGGAAAACAGCAACGAATGGGTTAAATTCAACATTAATAGTGTAAAAGAGACACAGGAGAGATAAAGTGAGATCAAAGCCGCTGTGTGTGTGTGTGTGTGTGTGTGTGTGTGTGTGTGTGTGTGTGTATGCAAGGATTTAATTTATATCAAACTATCACTAGCAAAACTACTACAAGAAAGAAATGGACAAAATCCTGACCTGACTTGAGCTGGTGATTTTGAGACGATAAAACACAGGAACAAACAGAACTGCAGCAATGAGGGAGTTGAGCGCTTGTCCCAGGCACATATAGAGGAACTTAAAGCCATATAAATATGCCTCTGATGGCACACCGAGCACTTGGACAGCTGACATAAAGCTGGCACAGAGCGACAGTCCAACGGGCACAGCAGAGAAACTCCTTCCCCCTGTGAAGAAGTTGTCCACGTTAGAGCGATCCGGGGTCTTCCTCAGAGACTGGAATAGCCCGATGGCCACCGACACCCCCAGCATAGCAGCAAATACTGCATAGTCCACCAAAGAGAAGCCCAGTGTGTCAGAGTCTGAAGCCATAGTGCTGTCTGTTCAGACTCAGAAGTCAGAGCCTAAATGAGTGGAGTCCTTCTATTCAAGAAGCTTTCAGCTGTAACAACAAACCCAGAAATCACAATGCATTCTCAGTCAGCCCCCTGTTATGTTCTCTTGACTTTCAAACACTGGGGCTCATGCAGTGCACAGTGTCATTTAAGGTAAGAGCAGATGAATTGATTGAGTACAAAATAAGATATAGCAATTTATATCTTTTGCACAGTATTTAAATATTTAAAAATACAACAGCTTACATTTAACCAAAACAAAAACCTGGAAAAAAGCGTTTATGAGTGTTTGGAAAGACCAAATTCCACAGGCCAACACATGATTAAATCATACAGGACAGAAAACTGAATTGGTTTAAAGATATGGTCACTATCGCTGACCAGTGTGGAAAGTGAGTGAGCATTATTTCAAGTAGAGTTGGATTTATTTTCCTGGGCTGATAATTTGGATAATCGAAGACCGTCTGATGGGAGGGGAATGAGGAAATAATGTAATACAGTATAACATATGAAGGGAGGAGTATGTTGTGATTGACATAGCAGAGGTGGAGTCATTCGACACCACAGATTCTTGTAATTGTTTTATAGCACATATATATACAGTGGTGTGAAAAAGTGTTGGCCCCCTTCAACCTTCATTTAAAAACTGCATGTTGTGTTTACTTGTGTTATCTTTGACTAATATTTAAATTTGTTTGATGATCTGAAACATTAAAGTGTGACAAACATGCAAAAAAATAAGAAATCAGGAAGGGGGCCAACACTTTTTCACACCACTGTATATATATATACACAGGGGTGCACATAAGTTTTTTAGTCTGTTTCTCATGAGGTTTGGTGCTCACCTATACAGTCTATGGTGCTCACACTACACAGTGTAAAAAAAAAAAAAATTAATAATAGTAATAACAATATTATTGGACTTTATTTATTTAGTTTTTTTAACATAAAATAATAAACAAAATAATAAAGTGTGGTAACACTATTATATTTTAAAATAAAAAGTGAGTATTAAATAAAAATACTATTATTTTATAGCACTCTAAAAAATGCTGTTATATTTTCTACCCAACGGCTGGGTTGAGCCTTGTTGTAGGGATACGAAACAGCAGACAAAATGGCTAAAGAAGCAATTAAAATGGATAATAGTCTAGCAGTCACTATAAGCAGGGCAGAAGGAAAGTCTGTGATTAAGCAAGTTTGTAGGAGTAAATGGCAGAACTACTGGAACTCGTAAAAGAGGAAGACATTTTTATAGAATACAAAGTAACATAAAACAAGGTAAAAGTAATCATTATATACATAGGAAGGACTTTATTATATATACAAGATTAAGAATGGGTCATACTAATCTTAATGCAACACTTCATATTATCGGAAAACATAATTCTGGTTTATGTAATGTATGTCAGGAAATGGAAACTCTTGAGCATGTTTTGATTAGACGTAAAAATATGAACAGGAAAGAACTGAACTTATGAGTACAAAGTACAAAGTAACATAAAACAAGGTAAAATTAATCAATATATAAATAGGAAGGACTTTATTATATATACAAGATTAAGAATGGGTCATACTAATCTTAATGCAACACTTCATAAAATCGGCGAACATAATTCTGGTTTATGTAATGCATGTCAGGAAATGGAAACTGTTGAGCATGTTTTGATTAGATATTTAAAAAAATATGAACAGGATCGATCCTGAAAGAATTGATCTTATAAGAGATATGCAAGCTTTGGGTATTATGGAATTTACCTTATATAATATTTTAAAGGCAGGAGTAGAATTTAATAAAATAATTATAGCGTTAATGAAGTTCTTGAGAAATAGCGGTCTAAAGAACAGAATATAGAAAATCTTCCTTGTGTTCCAGCTTCGTCACACTCCAGTACAGTAGGTGGCGGTATGCACCTTTCCAGTTGGTCTGCAACCCGCCAATAAACTCACAGAAGAAGAAGAAGGAAAGCAAATAGTCAAACAGGAAATTATAAGTCTTTAATTGTATTCTTGACGGAAACTGGGTTAATAAATAGAATATAAAGTATATATTTTATATATATATATATAT